TCAGGTTGAACATGAGCGCGAACAAGCTCAAGATCAGATCAGAGCCTGCGAGGACTGCCTGCTGGGTGAAGGAACTCCCTTAATTGAGCCCGTGCTGTGTAGAGCCTAGGCAAAGCCTTTCTGAAAGCAGGCTGTGTAGAGCCTGAGCAAAAACTTTCTTGAGATTTTCACGCTCCTGCTAGGAGCGAGATGCTCTGCTGCAAAGCGAGCTCCAGGCAATCAACGACAAGTTTGAGGCTCAAGGTTGTGCATGTTTGCGCACGTCTTGACAAGATCATGTTCGTTACAAGGGTCGTGTTTCGTTGGGACCCCGAGAGGCTTCTTGACAAGATGTGTTTGATCTTTCGCTGAGGATCGGCTCCTTGGCTGAGCGCCTTCGACAGGACAAGTCCGAGACGGCCTCCAAGGACTCAGCTGCATTTGTTTCATTGCAACAAGCGACAGCCGATGCGGTCTCTCTTTCATTCTCTTTCTCTCTCTCGCACCTGCCCAGGACGAACATGTCCGTGTCCTCTCGGAGCAGAACAAGCAGATGCTTACCATGCTCGAGACAGAGGAGCTTCCGAAAAAGTCCAACTCGAAACACGCATGAATATGGCGTGCCAGCACATTGAAGCTTTTCTTGGTCCTATTCTGTCGGGTCCAGGTGGTGGCACGCAAGTGTGCAAGCTGGCCATCAAGTGGCGACCGTGACCAAGCCCTCAACCCTAAACCCCTGAACCCTAATTACTAGGATCTCCTAGGCTAGCCCCCTCAATCCCAGACCCTAAGCGCTATTGACGAGTGATCCTAAATTAGCATAAGTCTCGAACCCTACGCCCGAAACCTTCCAGCTGAAATCCTTGCACTCAGCCACCAGAACCGACATCCCCAAGATTCTACACCTTGCACCAAGCTTCAGCCCTAAACAATCAACATTCAAACCTTACACTTTGAAGGCTCGAGTCCCACGCCTGAATCCCGTCCGAACCACTCGCAACCTTAAGTCCTGAAACGTCAAACATCAACAACCTTGAACCTCTGACCCTAAACCAACTCTAAAGCTAGACGAGCTATTCCTTTCCCAGGAGCTGCAGCTTCATTTGAGGGAAGCTTTGATGCCTTACTTCCTTTTGAGCTCTTATCATGAATTTACATGCCTTGGGGAAAGCGTCCGCTCATCCCTGAACGCAGAAAGCTCGCCAGGAGCAGAAGTCCAAGGCCACAGCCGAGACGATCAAACAGCTTGAAAGTCTGGGCCTGAAAACAAATGCAAGCAGCTTGTAAGCGGGATGCATCGGGTTCCAGCAGTGTTGGCAGATGATTTAATGGTTGTTTGTTTTTTCAGAGTCGCTTGGATCGGATGGTGGCTGGCGGGGCTCAGGTAAAAATCGCAAGCTGCAGAAGATTGCAGAGGCAAGGACGTTGATCAATTATTTTCTTTGGAGCTGGCCCCCGTTTCTGCATGTGGTTTCATATCTGCTGCAGCCAAGGCAAGTTATTGCAACATCTTGCCAGGAGTTCGACACTGCAAAAGCTGACCTCGAGCGGCAGGCAAATCAGAATGCTACAGAGGTTTTGGACTCTTCTGGGATACACTGTTCAGTTGCACAACGTAGTTTCAACTAAGATTCGAAAAGGCGCAGCGATAAGTCTTACGTTCGGCACAGGAAGACCTCAAACACACAGGTGGCAGAGGCCAAGTCTCGCTGCGCAGACACCGTGGCCACGGTCAAGAGCACGAAGCTCAGCTGCTTCCACAAGAGCTTGTTGCAGCAGCTCTGCTTGCTCTTCTTGTTTTGGCTGCCTCTTTGTTTTCAAGTTTCCCTCGGGCTGTTCCATGTGCTGAACGTTCTTTCGGTCTTCTCGGGGCTGGGCGCAGGTTTTAAGATGTAATGTACGTAAAGCAAAAAGGGTTTTTGGGGCGTTCAGGGCAGACGCGACTTTACGACACGCTGCGAAAACAAGATTCTAGGTTCAAATGTTGTTGTCATGCGTGTTCTGGTCTGAGTACTGAGCGAACTGCCTCACCAAGGGGGCAGCTAATCAGTTTCCCAGCCCTTCACGTTTTAAAATTCCTGGGCGCGAAAGCAGTGGCGTCTGAGATTCTCGGAGCCTCAGTACAGCGGGTCTTACAGGGGAATAGGAACACAAAGTGACCCCAGGCAGAATCTTTGCTCTGGAACATGTGAAAACTGACAAATGCTAGCCCTCGCAAGAAATGGCTGACGTCTTGAATCCTGCGCCTGCCTTTCTCCGGCACAAGTGGTGCCGTAGGGTTATCTTACATCAGTCCGCTTTCTTATGCATCGATTGAGCGTCTACTTGGGGAAACAATGTCTTGGGCTTGGCCACTCCTTACCAACATAATCAGGAAAATGTTGTTGATGACAGCGTCTACATGCAAAATCCGTATGTAGGTGGGCTCCTGTTATAAAATCTCTGAGTACATGTAAGATTTCCTTCGTGTTTCTGTAGCGAAATCCCATAGCAAAATCAGTATATGGTCGCATCGCCGCATCGCAGACAGCTTCTGCGACTGCTAGTTTGGCTTTATGATTGTTCGCGGCTTGTCCTTCAAGCTGAAGTGAGATGTCACAAGCTTTTCTGTGCTGAGGCCAAAGAAGCCTCAATGAGACCCTCCGGCCGGCGACTCAGAGCAGCGCGACTGCTGGGTTTTGTGAAATTCCTTCAGGTTCGGTGCAAGATCAAACTTCCTGCTTGGACACTTATAATCTCTGTAGGTGAGTATAGACAGAGGGTTCACTAAAAAGAGCTGAGAGCAGAGTACACCACAGAAAGATGTTTACCCGTTCTTTTCGCGAATTGAGGGAGGGGCAGGTAAAATCCAGTCCTTGTTTTCAAAGGTTTCCCTTTTTTGTGTTCTTTTTTGTTCTTGGGCCCCCTGAAAAACAATGATCGTCATCAGCAGATCATTGGGTAAGCTGCATGCCGCTCTGTAAACCCGGAAACCCGCCTGTTGTCGGGTGCTTCTATTCCGACGGGAAAAAACCCGGTTTAAGCCACCAGGCCCTCGAATCGGTCGCAAGGAGCCGTCAAGCGATGCACGTGTACGAATGGAAGTTCTGCCGCAGCGAAATCGTACGATAAGAACACATGTCCATGAATCAGGCCGCTATGAAATTCGATTCAAGGGTATTGTAAGTGAAGAAGATCCAAAGTACAGAAACGAGAAAGCAAGTAATATGAAGAACAGAAGCCTTAGTGACAATAGCAGGAAGGATAGCACAAGTGGGGTTGGGTTGTCAAATAGATTCGCAAAGAGTGTAGGATAGATGAGTTCAAGGCATAGCGCTTGGATTTGGAAATGGCGGGGAGATTGCGAGCGGTGTGAGTACCACCCCATAACGTGCAAAGCTGGTCCGAACATGAGAACACGTACGGCTTTTGAACCACTTTGTGATATCACTGGCAAGTTTTCTGGTGTATTGCAAGGGAAGAATGGCCAGGGCAGGTTTTCTGAGGAAGAGGAAGTACGAAACAACAGTAGCGAGAAGAACAGCAGTCAAGAAACTAGCGTTGTTTGTTGTAGAAGTTTCAAAAGAATAAACAACAAAAACTTCAAGAGAGCGGAGACTGATACATTTGTGCTTGCTTTCAACATCGTCCACAGGGTGGGAGTGCCAAAGAAAAGCATAACAAAGAACATAAGATGCGCAATACAGGTCCGAATATGAGAGCGTGCATTTTTCTTCGTTGTTCAGGGCATGGTGCTTGGAAAGATTTACGCTCTATGTACGTTGTGATATGCTGGGGTTGCTCTTTCTCAAAAAAAGGCTTGGCGAGGGTTTCCTGAGCAGGAGCTGTGGTTGGGTTGGATGTTTGCTGCAGTAGGTTTCGTGGGCATGCGGCTGGGGTCGGGAGGATCCGGCTGGTCGGTTTGGTCTGGTGCGCGCGGTGCCAAATTCATTGTGCCCGGATCCGGGATTCGGTGGCACTTGGTGGTACGCCAACAAGGTCAACTTGAGGTGGGCGGCACCTGTCACTTTGCGGCAAGTACCCTTCCAAAGAGATCCACCATGGTGCCACAATTTCAACAATCACATCAAACCTCACTTTTTTCTTTGTAGGGCCATGCACAGCCCATGTGTTACCAGTACCAAAGCGGTGCATCATGACTTGCTTTCTAGCAACGGTCTTCCTGAAACCAAAGTCTACAACAAAGTTTGTACCCATGCACTGGATTGCGCACTAGCAATGAAAAGGACGAGCGACAAGTTGCGTACGGGCAAGCTGCAGGAGAGAGCATGAGGGGGTTGAACGCTTCCGACTGCCTGACGTATCAGGTCAAACATCCAAAACACGGAAGCCAAGACCAGGGTACGGAGCCGCCCTCCGCTCTCTAGACGTCTGGGCAGGGACATTTTTTTTGGGTTGTTCTCCATTCTTTCCAATCCTTTTCCATCTCGTAGCAAGCAACTCTGAGGTTAAAGGGGTTGGTAGCCAATGCTTGGGGGTAGGGCTCACTGTGCATCACCTGAATGGCTGCAGTCGTGATTGTTGTCCACTCTCCTTGATGTGCCTGACAGATGCTCCTGACATACCTGATTGTGAGTGCTTTTTTGAGCCGCGCTCTGGAAGCCCTTGCCACGGCAGCCCCTCGGCTCAGCTTCGGGGTGGCCCATCCGAGAGCGCACGACGTCCGCTGCGCGGGGCGGCCGGGAGCCCAGAGCATGCAGCTCCCTTTGAATTGAATTCGAGTCTCGGGAACATGTTGGAAGTAGTTTAGCTTGAGTTTTTTAATTGTAGCTGCGTCTTGATCGTCTTGCTTCGGCGTAGAAGTCTATGCGAGGGCTCTGCTGAGGGCTTGGAGTAATCAAGATAGCGGCGTCAATGTTAGTCCTGCCAACTGCACACCCTGTCGGGCTTTGCAAATGCGTATGGATTCGCACGACCGTTGGCCTCTGCACTTTCAGACTCGGCTGCCCAGGTATATCCCCGCGACCTTCCACTTACTACTACTTACTACTACGTTCTTCCGTGTTTCCGCTTCGCCCGGGATGGAAGCCCTGGCCGCCGCGGCAGCGAGCCGCGAACTTCAGAGCGCTTTTCTGGGAGGACAGAGCAGCAGAGCAGCTGTCCTTGGTTCTCTGAGTGTTTGTGAAGCTTTCCAAGTGTCTCTGTAGCAGGCAAGGCAGGATGTACATGCAGGGAGGCGCGCATGGCTCGCATGATCCGGGCCAGGACGCGTTTCACGTAATCCTAGCACGCACACCAAATGCAGGAGTCCTTGCACTCTTTGTCCACGTTGCGAAGGCCGTGCTGTGGAGCTTGAAAATCTAAAGACCAAGGATTGAATTGCAAACTGCCGGCCTCTGCCGCAGTATGCGCTTTTGAAAACAGTCAGCATCGCCTCAAGGCAAGGGGCATTCTATATTCAACGACTCAGAGCCCATGCTCAAGTTGCAACGTTTTCCCAGCACGCAGAGCTTCACGTTAAACAACTCTGACAGGGTGCCTTTGCTGGTAAGTCTCGCTCTTCCTCGAGGCTTGAAGCTGCGTGCCTGCAAGTTTTTTGAGGTGCAGACTGATCGCTGGGTCCCTTAATATGACATTGGAAACGGTGCCGGAGACTTGCATTTTAGCGTTGGTGGCTGTGAGCGGGGTTTTGGATGGCTTGGGCCATGACGGCAGCAGTGGCAAGAGCACGGAGCTCTGGTAAGCGGTGTAAAGTCCACGAAGGCGTCAGCAGCAATGTTGGAGACTCTGATGGCAGATGCGGTTCTGTGTGTTGGTTCTGATGGAAGAGGCTGCGCTGTGCTCTGCGGCCTGGTCGCTTGCTCGCTGCTTTCGGCGCCTGCTCTCTAGGAGGTGAGTTGGGTTTCCTGCATACTATGCAAGGCAATGCAAGGTAATTGTTCACTGCATGCGGAATAGGCTTCCAAGTCCCGGGAGTGGACGCAAGCTGCACAAGCGCTGTATGTGAGACAGCGCTTGAGCCCACAGCTAATAAATCTGCTGCTCTTGCACAGGTCTCTGTGTCCATGCAGCCAAAAATGCTGTCCAGCACGGTCCCTTCTCTGTGAAGTTGAGGCAGGTGTGTGTTTGATTCTTTCTGGGTTGTGATGCAAGGAGCTTGTTCGCTGTACCAGGCTAGTAAGTTCTGAAGTGTGGACATTCAGCCCTGCAGCTGGGCAGATCCTAGAAAAAGACACCCCAAATGTTTGTGCGTCAGGCGTCAACTCATCCCGCTGCACAGCCCGGCACCTGGAATCTCTCGAAGTCCGTAGTCGTTAGAGAGCTGTGCCACCGGGCCGGTACTATCGCTTTCACGCGGCTGTGGTCATTAGGCGAGGATGGCGTGGTGCATCACAAGAGCGCTTACTACGGCCAGATCTCCGTGGGTGCTCCCACGCCGCAGCAGTTTGAGGCCCCAAAAGTCTGCCGCAGCACATGACTGACATGACTTGTGAGAGCTTTCGAGCCAGGTGGTGTTCGACACAGGGAGTGGGCACCTGGTGTGGCTCTGAGGCGTCATGAATTTCATGCCGACGAATGCCTTTGTACTCTTGCTATTCTAACTTGCACCGGCCCCAGAGGCATTTCTTGTGAGAACAAGCCTGAGGTCTTGCCTTCCATCATGTGCCGCGCCTTGGCCAGTTCTTGAACACTAGCTTGGAGCGCGGTCCAACATGCTTCAAAACAATGGCAAAGGTTGGAGTCCACAAGTTTCCGCTCTAAGCTGAAGCTACTTTTGTACGGACGGTAAGCAAGGAGGTACTAATGATCGTAGAAACCCAGGTAATTCATTTCTGGCGATGTTGAGGCTACCCCCTATCACGTTCAAAGCATTGTGTCTCTTTGGGGCCAGGCGCAGAGACCTGCCTGAACCACCGCCGTTACCGGCGCCGAGCCTCCCTGGTAGGGGCCCTTGACAAGGTTGCCTAAGTTTCATATTCGTCACCATTGGCTGCTGACTTCACCATCGTCTCTTTCCTGCTTGCCTTTTGAGCAGGCAACCGGTATGCGGTATGCGGGGTGATGGCCGTGTCTGATGCCTCCAAATCTTGCTTGTGAGGGTTGTAGTAGGGACTAGTCGCGTGGCAGGGTGAGGGGTGGGCTAAGAAAGTACGTTGTTTGGTTGCATCATGTTGCATCCACAGCAATAGCAAGCTTGCTGTAAGAGCACCGTAGATGTGTGGGGCTTGGGGATGGATGCTGCGCTGAGTTGCAGTTACAGAAAACGTTTTGAATTCCAGTATTTGAGCTTCTTGAAAGGCTGCCAATACAGTAAGTCACACCACTTAGAGCTCTGGAAAGGCTGCCAATACGGTAAATGACAGCACTTGGTTAAGTTTTTAGCTTTTTTTTATGAAGAAAAGGAATGCCCAACGTTAGGATAAAACAAGAGCCAGCGTTAGGGAACAAAAACTCCGCCGTTGCAGCTGCTTCACTTGACCGAGAGCGGACTTGCACGTTACACGCAAGTCAGCAGAAGCATGTCGTCGCGTCGCTAGGTTAAAAGGCACCTGTGTCAAAAGGTGTCGAAGAATGCCAAGCCCTACGCACATCTACTTGCAACGCCTCTACACATGAGGGATATTTTTTTCTCCAAGGCTGCTGTGTCGTTCTGCTAGTAGCTTGGGGGTTATCACCGAAGCACAGACAGGTCGCCAAAGATATCGACGTGGACGGTTCGTTGGTGATGCCAAACCAGGCCCAGCACGTGAGGGATTTCAAGCTGGCTTTCATTATTGCGGCTTCCCTTCCTTCAGCGCAGTTCGGCGTCTAGATTCAGAGTGCGTTTGTGGGGCAGAAGAACACAAACTCCACTTAACATAATTTTGATAATTTTCGATCAGCAAGCTCCTAGTGTGTTCTTTCTCCACTTGATGGAGGGGCAGATTTCAAGGCACATGGATGTTGAAAATCATATGATTTGGCAAGGAGACCTAATCCAAGGCATTCTTTTCCCCGCAGCCAGGCTTTTGCCCACTTAAGCATCGCCATGTCCAATGAAGCCCAGGCCCGAGATCAAATCACCGTGTCCTATGGCACTGGTGAGATCACGGGTATCTTCGTGCACCCCGGCTTTTAGGCATCAGTCGCTGCAGCAAACTCTGATATCATTGCCATCGTCTCCCAGGCAGGACAAAGTCTGCCTAGGGCCGCCGGCTCCCAAGGACCAATGCTGCGATGGTATTAGTAGGGTTCTCAGGGACCTGCAGAGAGCAGCGCCCACCATATCGCATATTCGCATGCTAGAGCTCTTGCAAAGCCTCTGCCCCACCATGTATACTTGAAAGTTGAAAGAAAGAATCCTGGCAGGAGCCCGCGCCAGCATCGCCGGCTGGCAGCGTCAGTGGAGCCTCGCTTCTGCCCTTGGCCCCAGAAAGTTGAAAGCGCACTCCCCGTGTCTATGTCTTGACATGTCTTGACCCAAGGAAGGCTCAAACGTATTCTAGCTCTCTTGCTGACAAACCCCAGGCTCCAAGTAGAGAGCACCCAGGCAGCTGGACCGCGCCCGTGTGGAAACCGCCAAATCACAGTTGCAAGAGGATGAGGCAGGGTCCCTCAAACCGCTTAGCCTTGGATTCCGTCTTCCAGACACCAGCAGATTCCAGGAGGATGAGGAAGGCAAGCCACAGCCAGAGCACGGCTGCGTGGACCTTCGCCTCGTGTCCGCCACGGACCGGAAGGGCTGAAGGGCAGGGTCAAGGGCTATGCGGTGTGAGTGCACCAGGGTCTCGGGAAGCTGTCTCATGTTTGCAAATCAACCTTCATTTTGAGCCTGATTTTTGCAGGACATGACAGACGACCCGCCGGGGGCACAGACCCGAAACTTGGGCGCGGTGTGGACGGTTTCGGATCATGCAAACTGCCGCTTCGGTCATGGTTCTCCGTTTGCTTTTCTCAGATTTTTCCTAGTGACAATCGGCTTCCAGCAAAACCAAGTCTACTTGTCGTCCCAGGTTTTCTAGCTTTCAGTTTGACGGCGTCCTGGGCCTTGGGCTTCCAAGCCTATCGCAAACCTCGGAGTTCAACTTTCTCGAGGCCGCCGTGCAGCGCTCTGTTGTGATGCTGGAGGTGACGGTGACGTTCAAGTGTTTTCCGAAGTCATTGTTGAAGTGCGCCGACCCCCGAATGCAAGCCGTCAGTTAGGTGTCGATTCCAAATTGCTTAGAAGCCGCGAGACGAGCTACTTAGAAGATCTTAGAAACGAGCAACGCGCGAGCAAAGCCCGTTCGTGTTGCAGCCACGTCGCGACGTGAACTCGTGTCTCGAGGCTGCCTCGGGGGGCGGCTCCTGGAGTTCCTTGGTGCCGGATGCGGTGCGCTTTGCTGCGATTTGCATCAAACGAGAGGATTTTAGGGGGCGCCATTTTAGCCTAGGCGTCCTGCGGCTTTGCAATACTATTCTGACCCCAAAGGTCCTTGCCGAGTCCGTCAGTTGAGCTCTTTACTCCACGCATGCTGCGTATGGTGAAATGTGCACTGGATGTTTAACTGTATCGTGCGCGGTCAGGAACGCATGTTTGGCGTCTTCCTCGCCAAGTCTGGCAAGGCTGCCATCGAGTGCCATTGAGAATCCCCACATGTGCATGCCTTCTGAGCCGCAAACGCTAAATTGCTTGCGCGCTGTGTATCTTGCATAGTTTGAAACCTTGGCACTGTAAGCTAGGTGTGGTGGACTCCTAACTCTCTCGAATGCTCCCACACGTGAATCTCCTCTGCACTGAGTGAACTGAAGACTGGAAGCAAGGAAGACAGCGAGATCACCTTCGGTGGCTGGGCAGGCCAGGGCCTCACGGGCCTGGAGGGTCCTGGAGGACATTCGGGTGTCAATCTTTGCCTAACGGCTTATTTGGCTTTGTTCGCAGCGTCATTTGTGGCTTAAAATTGTCATCGCCACTGTAACTACGACCGCAACTGCAAGAACGACAGCAACAATGAACCCTGCCAGACCTCTGAAGCTTTACTGCCACCTCTGCCGCACTCCCCCCACTGCCGTCTCCGCGACCGGACGATGAAGTTTATGATGATGGATGGCTACGCAAATCGGTGCTCGGGTGGATGATGCCGATCATACTGACGATGGTGGTGATGATGGCAACAGTCAGTGCATCATACTGCGCGACCAACCGTGGTCGTTTTCCTTGCTTGGTCGTTCTGAAGTAGCTTGCAGCATTGCAGCACCCTCCGCAACAACTATAGGGAAATGGTAGCCCTGCGGAACCTGCGGAGATCAGCTTCTAGTGAGTTCGTGGGACCTTGACGCAAAAGATTGGCTTGTAAGGCATAGGAAAGGACTGGATTGGGGTGCCTTACCAACTTCTGCACATCGGTGTCCTGTTTTGGAGGCAGGCGTTGCTGACCTGCAGTCAGTTTTGCAGTGGGTTCAACTTGACTTCGCCACGCGGGAGCCCGGTAAGCAATCAGCAAATATCGGATCAGCCTGCACCTTTCCGAAGAGGCGTATTTGCAAATGGCTTGCTCTCGTGAATTTGTGTCTTCAGCTTCATGTATTTCTGCCCATCAGAAAAGGTAATCCATTCAGTCTTCCATTCTTGATTCAATAGGTTAGCCCGAGATTTGATTCCGCCTTAAATGGTGTGGCCCAGATGACCACATCTTGACTGGCCACGAGCTGGTGCTCGCCCCAGAAGCCTGCTTGTTGCTCATAACGCATCATAGAACGCGAGGAGATACAGGGATGGGGTAATGTCGCAGTAGCCCACAGAATCTTGGAGATTCCAGAAGTTCGTGGAGATGCTGAGGCCTTCTGCGACGTGCAGGACAGTGAGGACTGGTCCTGAAATCCATACAGTAGCGGGCTCCAAAGCACAGAGGACGTTGAATTCTCCTGGATCCTGCTCGTGGTTCATCATGGGAGTTAACGTTGGGTAAGTTATATCCAAAGGGATGATGACAACAATAATTAATGATAATGAGATTGCCTGGCCAGCGAAAATCCTGTGCACTAGGATGTTTCATTTGATTTTGATTGCGAACCTCTGTTTTGCTTTGTATGCCCCATTCCCTACCCGCATACTGGGAGGTCAGGGGGTGCATTTTATACAGGGGTGGTGATAATGAAATTCCTTGACCGCAAAACCCGCAAAAATCCTGGTTCGCAGTTGAAATCAAATTAAAAGCAAGCAATCGAAGAGCAATCTTACTCCTCCTCTGAGAGAGCTCAGGCCCCTCAGAGTTTTTATTACGACCCCTAAATTTCCCGACCTTTGTTTTTTTGAGTGGTCCGCCTGGAACTCCAGGAGAAGGGGTTATTAAAACGAACTCAACATTGGAGACACCCTGAAAGACTGAGTCTTGAATCCTACCCCCTAGTTCCAGGCCTGTTGCACTCTGGCAGTATACCTATCATACAATTCGAGCAGGAGGGCTATTGGCAGCTCCAAGTCTACGGCATCAAGGCCGTTGTCATCACGAAATCCACATCTTGGCAAACTAAACCCTGAGAAGTTCCAAGACTTTCTTGTTCAATCTTCAGTCTTGAGCCCTCAACCGTCTGCATTTGCCTGAGTCTGCAGATGGTTTTTGTTCTCTGAAGTTTTGACCGTTCTGCCCTAGACTGTCTGAACAGGCTCCATGCCTCCTTGAGCCAGGCCGACGGGCAGAAGCTAGACTTCTGCGACGACGGCTGCAGAGCAGTCGTGGACAGCCTTCCTGCATCTCATGTTGTTGAGATTGCAGAGAGAGTCCCGTTGCAGTAAGCACGCATATGGTTGTACCGCTGGTACTGTGACCAAAGGGATGAGTTCTTGCCAAAGCCAGGACACTGGTTCCTCCCTTGTCGGTGTCCCTTCTGCGCTGGGCGATCAGCTGGTCCAGACGCTGAGAGCATTTGACAGGGCATCAGGGCCTGCTTGCTTTTCGGCCTGCCTGCCTGCCTGCCTGCCCAGGTGGACCTGCTCCGGTTCCCTGCTTCGCCTCAAGGCGCAGCCTGAGGGGTCTGAAAGCCTTGAGGTGCTTTCTGTCCTTGTTTAGGGGCCAGCCTGCATGAACGTTGGGTCCGTGTCCCACTCCCCGTCCTGCACTCTGCTTAGCCTCCCTGGACTCATTCCAGAAGAGCCGCGAGTTGCTCAAGCGCCGCAGCCGTTGCCAACAACCATGACAAAACTCACAGAATCCAGACCCTGCTTTCTACCGGGCTGAAAGCCTCAAGCTCCAACACCACGTGGCTCTTAGCCGAATTGTGCTGATTTGCAGGACAGAGTCATAGCACATGGCATCAGCAGATGTTTGCATCCCAAGACTCCATCCACGCATTGGCCTTACTCCCAGCTAAAGGATTTTATTTGTGTGTTTGACTTTCAGTCGGATTGGGACCGCTGATGCGTTCCCGCTCCACATGGCCAGCTGGTCTTTTTCTCCTTGGCGGTGCGGGGCTCTGGGCGCCTTGTTGATGAAACATGTCTTGGCATGGCGTACAAGGGCTTCCACAGCCAAGCCAGATCTCGAGAATTTTAGACAGCCAGCCAACTTTATCTCCGGGCGCTAAGAGAGAAAATGATTGGAAAGCTTTTGCGGGTTGTATGGTGTGTGGTTTTGTGTTGAAGTTGTGTTTTGCATGTTTGCTGAACACGAAGAAGATGGAAAGCTGCAAACCGTGCTTGCACAGTCTAAAGTCTAAATGCTAGACGACCTATGGGGCCAGTGTTCAGGTTGCTTTCAAAGATGTAAATCCGCAGCCAGAGAACGACAGAGCTGAGGACGTCAGCTTCTGCCCTTCTCCAGTGCAGCTGCAGCCGCGAGGCCTGTGAAGTGAGGTTTTGGGTTCTGTTTCGGACCCGCTGTGAATCCTGAGGATGTGGGCGGACCCAAAGATGGTCGGTCCAAACTGCGCAGGCACAGCCGTTGTTCCTTGGAATCAACCTGAGCAGACCCTTGCCGTGCCTGAATCAAACAGTTTCCAGCCTGACGATTTTTTTTGCCATGCAAGCAGCTGAAGTGGACGATGTTACAGGGCATGGTTGCAATTAGTTCGGTTAATAGGCTATCAATCTAGCTATCAATGGTTGGACCGGTGATGACACAAAGGGAGAACACGGCTGCCCTCGACAGAGTTGCAAGTTCTGTGGGCATGGTCTCAGGAGCAAGACGCCGTGGAGGCCCTATGCGCTGTCTCTACTGCAAGATGCCAAGTTCTTCAGAGATACTTGACTTCGGAATCATCGCAAAGGGCACCAGAGGAAGAGATGGCACCGCCACCTCGCACAGCTCTCGAGGTTGTTTCGACATTGGATTGGGTAGGATTGGTAGTCGAAGCGCTAGAAGGGCGGATGGTTGTAATCGGGTGCACCTAGTGATCCTGTCTGGTTCTAAGAGTAAGTACGCAGCATTCCAAGCAGTCTTAAGTTTCCTAGCTGCCGTAGATAAAAGGGGAAGGCTTTGATGCTGCGCATCTTTTCTTGCTGGCCTGAGGATTTGACTGCAGAGCAACTGGACGAGACTGCTGACTTGATGATGGTGGAGCTGCCTGACTACCTTTTTGTTGGCGTTTGATGGTGCAAGGGACTCCCCACCTGCGTACAGCCAAGACATGCCGTTCGCGACGTGACCTTAGCCCGGCCTACAAGAGCGGCTTCCAGAACAGCAATCAGGCCTAGGGAGCCGCAAGGAAAAGTTTCCCTGCAGATGTCCCCAGGAGGCTTTTAGCATTGAATCCAAAAACGGCGACACTTATGAGGATGGCCCCTAACCCCGCTTGAAAAGGTCCGCAGAAATATCGCAGACATGAGCAGGAGAAGCATGGAAAGCGAAGATAAGACCTTACACAATGAAGGAAACAGGACGACAAACAAAAACCAATCTCAACGTAAAGCAAGTAACCTTTTAGCTTAATGCTGCATCCCATTCCGCAAATGCTGCCTTCCCCATTTGCTGAGGCTTTTTGAACCAGGTGCCACGGTCTTCAATCAGGCCCGTTTGGATACCATGTAGTGTCTCGCAGGGCGCATGACTGCAAAATAGATTGTAGTTTGCAAGACATTGCATGGCTCTTCCTGCTGGCCGCAGGCTGGAACTTGACTTGACGGTTTGCTGGTTTTGCGTTTTCGCGTACATGTTTGGTGATGCACACGAGGTGCTAATCTGAACCGAAGCTTTTGCAGGGGGATCCGGGCGATAAATTCTTCATCGTGGCGGACGGCGAGGTGAAGGCCACGCATGTTCTGGCTGCCAATCCTCTTCCCTCAGCTTAAGCCGCGCAAGGATCGATGGCCAGCTTGGGCCTTCCATGATCATTCGCTTCACTCATGGAGTAGCCGCATGCACTTGAGTTCGAACCTTTGACACCTTCATCCGTACTGTACCTGTGTGATCCTGAGTGCTTTGCCACTGCCTAGTTCAGCGCTTCTGCAGAGGCTTACGTGGCGCAAGTGCCCAGCGAGGGCAGTCCTCCAAAGGAGGAGGGAGAGCTTAAAAATCTGCCTTTTTTGCAGGCTCAGGCCTTGTGCAGAGAAGCCGTTAGAGGCTGGAAGGCTGCCTGTGATGATCTCTGTCCGTGTCAGGAGGACATGGTGAAGCATTACCACGCCGGCGAGTATTTTGGAGAATTGGCGCTACTCACTAAGGCCTCTCACCCGGATTTGGGTAGCTTTCAGAGGCAGAGGCGTGGGTTACGGTTTTTTTAGCCACACGAGTGGCATTTCGGGCCCGACCTCAGAATCTTCATTGTTCGCTTCATAGCTTGTCGGCCCAGACTTGTTTGCAAGGGTCTCCTCAAACCTCGCCACATTATGTAACTCTTGATCAGGCCTCCATTCCACAAATTGGAATCTGATGCATGGCAGATGTTTTCGCAGACTTGTAGATGTTGCACTGGTTTGGATCCAAGTTTGGTAGTTGACACATGTATTTACTCCAGTACAGTTGTGACAGGCGTTTCACAAGACATGTCTCAGCCCTTCATCGCTGTTGCGTGAAGTCCATTGTTGCCAAAGGAAGCGAACCCTGCTGCTCTTTCTCTATCTCTCTGTCTCTCTCGCTCTTTCTCCTCCTCTCTCCTGAGCTTAACGAGCTTACGCAGCAAAGCTAGCTTCACTGCGTGCGCATGCAGTGCAGAACTCCGCCAGGCCCCACGCCGAGCCTCAATTCGGAGCTGCGGGGCGCCATGCCTGGAGCCAGCCAGTGGTAGCAGCTGTGAAGGAGAGTACGAAATTGGAACGATTCGAATTGTTGAGTTGCAGCCTTATTGCCTGTTATAGGCTGTGTAGACACTTAAGCTTTCGCTTTGAGGTTTTCTCGCTCTCCAGTGCACTGAGAGCTAAGGAGCGGCAGGCTGTGCTGCTGTGGATCTCGCGCAGTGACTTCGAGCGGACCTTAGGCTCCTTAAAGGAGAACCTCGGGCTGAAAGCAAGAGGGTTTGTCTCGAGGCTGAAGAAGTTTCAACCTGAATCACGATTTCTTCGCGACACATCGCGACACGTGAACCTGAAAACTTGTGAGGTCGGACAAGAGCGTTGTGCTCAGCACACCTTGCATGGAGCAAAGCCTAGGCTTCTCCTGCGCAATGCCGCCTTCCGGCCAGCTTCACGTGCCTTGAAGCAGGCACAACGTTGCAGACAAACGGAATCATGTTTTCCAAGTCCAGAAAGAGGAAGCCCCAAAAGCCTGAGGAGCAGGAGCTGGCCAAGGCCTCGCCTTTGGAGCAGGTCTTTGGACTGCCAGGCTCCACGAGGCCTCCCCTTTCCTTCTTCAGATCGTGCCCACCTATGCTAAAATTTGAGAAGATGAGGCGTTTGGTGCTCACCGTGATGGTGCAACCCGGCTGTCCCCATGATGCCGCAGGCACCATGAGTACTTGAGTAATTATTGATTAAATTCCAAGCTTGCCTTATTCGATCTACTGTCATGGAGGGATAGGGCTGAGCAGAGCCTGAAGAGTACTGAGGTATCTTCTAGCAGGCACAGGCTACTACACCTACACAGGTTTCGAGGACAGCATCGCTGTGCCTTGTCACAAGGCTGTGCGTTTAGTCACAACTGATTCGATTCTTTCTCGCATCTTGACGCTGCAGGAGCTTGACCGCACGTCGCCAGCAGTGGCCTTGTACTTTTGTATTGAGCCGTGGCCTCACGAGAGCGGAGGACTAAACCCCGGCGCCTGAAACATGCAAGCCCCAAGCACGAATGTGCCCAGCCGCCTGCGTTCAATGTCATGTAACAGTGTGCATGATTGCTGCTTCAACTCTTGAAAACCTTGAGCAACGTGCTTCATATCTCCTAGAACGGCTTTGGCGGTCGGTTTCGGCGTGCTGACGCCGCGAGGCAAGTTTGGAGCGGGGAGCGCTCTGTGTCAAAGTTTCGGGACTTGTCCTTGAAGATGGTGGAAAATCGTTGAAGCGGTTGGTTGAAGCGGAAGCGGTTGCAGGCACCGGCTCGGCCTTCTTCACCTCGGCCTTCGTCATCAGCGGTGCAGCGCCCAAGGGCGGCAAGCAGTTTCCATCTCCTGGCAATTTGGGAGTTTGGGCTGACCGCTATGTGGAATTGAATGGCTTCTGAATGCTTCGGAGCTCACAGTCATCGTCTTTGCAGGTCATGGCAGGCTCGGAAGTAAAGTTGGCTCTTGAACTTTTTCACTCCTGGAAAGCCTTCTGGGTCATCTATCGGAAAAGCTAAGCATGATCATACATTGTGCATTTATGCAGGCTAGGAATGCCTTGCTGCCCCAAGCAAGGGTGGGGAATCTGTTAGGCAGAGTATGTCGTCGGAGATCGGAATCGATGCATATGTGGCACGCGGCAGTATTTTTGCCTGCGCCGCCTAAAACTTACAAGAAAAGACAACTAAACAACTCACCCCTAGCGAGTGTTGGCATCTTGACAGGGATTCTTTTGGCAAGAACTGGTCCCAAAGTAAAATGCGTATCTTGGATTGGATTTTTCGGGTTTCCCTACAGAAACGTGCAACAAGCTGCAGCTTGCTACCCCAAAACCCCGGAACCCTGGCATGCAAAGCCCTAAATCCTAAGCAACCATGAACCCTCAGCAAACCCCAGCTCGACCCTCAACTCAAGCCCTCAACCACCAATACCCCCCAAAACCCTAAACCCTATATGTCCCTAAGCTACCTCAAACCCTGAACAAGCAATCCTAAACACTGAGCAACCCCACTCTCAACTGTAACCAGCCCCAACTCTGAACCCAAAAACCTGAATAACCAACAACCTCAGAGCCCTGGAAACATCTGAAGAGACCAGTTAAGAGACGGCGTGAAGAAACGTAAATAGGGAAGGACAAAGGAGTGAAAGGGCTTGTAGCTTGCAGAGGTGCGTCCTGGGGCGTCAATAAGAGCAAATAAGGGCATGAACTTGTGGCGGGTACCGGTTCAGACTCGTTGAGACAGGATCCTGGTAAACTTCTTGTCCGGAGTTTTTGCCGACGTGTTGGAGGCTGGGTAACCCACGAGCCCAAGCCCGAGAAATGCGAACACGGCCGTCTCGGCCGCCTGTCCAGGAGGCTGAGGAGAAGCGCCGTCTGCGGGGCAGCGAGGCCGGGGCCCCAAACGCAACAGTTTTGCTTCGTCGCTGAGCTGCTCAACCTGCAGGCACGAGTCCTCTTTGGAACGGCAGCACCTCTGGCTTCTTGGTAAAAGGGTGCTGATTGTGGCAGCCAGGAAAGATGCCAGAACACAAGACACACCGCTCAGCTCATGAGGTTGTGTGGTGGCTGGTGGGCATCTTGGATGCAGCCTTCCTTCTCTTGGTCCATGGAATCCTGCATTCTCCAAACCAAGGGCTTTGCTACGGCCGCCTGCACGAAGGCTGGGACTGGGGCCACTGGACGGCTTTCATTGTTGCGTTGTGGTTGTCTGGGCTTCAGGGTGCAGCTTTCAATTTTGATGCAGATGATGCTGAGCGTTGAGCTAACCCAGACACGAGGTCATGGGCGAAACATTGACTGTGAGATTGTTTAAGCGCAAATATCTGAAAGCTCTTTGTTTCACCACCCAGCCCCCGTCCGTCCGGCCTGCACCAAGCTATGAATTGGCGCTGCGCAAGGGCTGGATTTCAAGCAGCATCCTTTTGCTCAACACGTAACAAACAACATGGCCTCTTAGCCACGTATCACGTGGTGTACGCGATGTGTTTCCATGGCTTGACTCGAAAAGCCTTTGTGTTTTTTGATTTGGAGACACATCGGGGTCGCCCAGAGACCTAGGGGCCTTGCAAAGGTTTTGCGTTAGTTCATCCAGCTGAAGGCCCCAACGCCGTTGCTGGCATGGAAGGCAGAAGCACAGGTCTGATTCTTTCGCTGCAACTGGCGGGGTAAAATTACGGGAATCTTGAACAATCATTGCGAACGGTTTCTGACAGACCTTGCATCAGCGTTCCAACATCACACTTGGTGTTGAACTTGGACCTGGGGCACCCAGGAACAAAGCGCCCATTGTGACTAACAAAGATACAGGAAGGATGAAAAGACTTGTTGCCGTGCTGTACTTGCCTAAGGCAAGGCAACGCTGTTCGCCATCAGCGCAACTTCTTCGGTGGGCATACAAGGCTTGGACTCTCAGGACCTGCACTGTGCCAGGCATGGGTCCAAAGCAGTGGCTGGACAACAAACAAGATGTTTTGTGGCAAGGACGATCTCTCCCTGATGGCGTGTGCTTGCTATCTCCTTGTAGGAGCTGTGGGTTTGCAGCGCGACAGGCATGTAAGCAGATTGCGGGTCACGGGCCGGTTACGAGGTTGCAACGCGACAGGTTAAGGACTGCAGGACTGCAGGACTGCAGGACTGCAGGACTGCAGTCTGTATCTCAAGTGCTGCTGTGATGTCGAGAGCCTTTCCGGATGCTAGACAGAAGGCTCAAAAGGGTGTGTGACAGCATCGTCTTCGTTTTTTTTTGAATTTCCTTTGGATTGCTTTCTTGCCTCATCCAGGAGTCCCACTCTACGCATCTGTGATCGCCCGCGTGTCTATTCTTGTGGCTGACGACATTATCCAGCGCCGACAGCACCCAGGCCAAACAATACATTCAAAGGCCTCCTCCACAGATTGGTAGTCTAGCGAATCTGAACACCTAGCGTTGACTGTGTATGACCTTACAGTGCCACGAGCAGCCAATCAATTTGCATTTCTTTTTTCTTCTATTCCCTAAGGAGCTAAGGCAAGAGATCAAGAAGCGTGCTATCATGGCCTTGGACGGCTGCGACGACGAATGCAAACTCGATGTTTTTTCCATGACCCTGGTCTTGACTTGGTCTTGACTGAGTGTCTCCTGCATAGATCCTTCATTCTGTTTATCTTTTCTGACAATCCTCACTAGTAGCAGCGAAAAAACTTGTTATACATCGTCAGAAGACAACGGAAGATTGCTGGAAGAGAGAGGGTGGTGCCGATCTACAGCGTGGTGACACCTAGCTGAAGAGTCGTTCATGCGGCAGTTTATGCTAACTTTCGCATCTTGCCACAGACCATTTCTTGAACTGTTCTTGTGGATGCTGGCTGCTTAATTAGCTGGAACGGACCGTTTGATGTGATGAGCTGTGTGCATCACAGAGGTATGACCTGGATCAGGATGGCGTCATCACCAAGGCAACGTTTCAGACTTGTGTGAGCCCTCATCTCAGCATTCACCATAGCCCTATGAATGTGAAGGCCTTAAACATCTTCCAAACCTGGACGTCGGTTGAGCCAGTCTAAGCTACAGCCTCTCCCATTCCTAGTGATGTGAACAGGAGGACATCCCAGAGCTGCTTAAATTCCTTTCGGCCTCCCGCGGCCTGGACATCAGCCAAAGCGACATCGCCTCTCGCCTGTGACGGATGATTGCAAAAGTAGGCATGGCATCCAATGCTTCAGCACATACCTTATGCGTAGGAGTGGTGACGATAATTTCATGACGGACGTGGCTGCATCTGAGGGCAATCTCCTTTGTGATGTTTGAGCGAGCGAACATGCATTGTTTCCTCACGGAGATTTCATCCGTAGTTGCCCGAGGACTTCTTGCTTGAAGAGTTCGACGAAGACCGGACTGGCAAGATCGACCAGCAGGAGCTTCAAGTGCTTTCTCGGTTTGCTCTTCCTCTCTGAGTTGCTTCATCCTAGCCAGGCAAAGCCCACTCCCCGGCATTCCTAAGCAGTGTGGACAGTGTGGCGGTCACCTCTTCTACACGCCTCGAGAAACACCTAGGGTTTGCTTGGGCTTGTCCTATGGATTGACTTGTGGAAAAGACTGCCAGGAATTCCTTGCTGGGCTGAGTCAGTGGCAGAAGGCTGTGAAAGAAAGCACCTACGCTCATTCAAGCCTGAAGTGTGACAGTTTACAGAGCCTTCTGAGTGGCAATCTGTTTTCTAGATCTCAGGTACGGCAAACTGACGCAGCTCAATCCAATGGAGATCACAAGTTTGAAGCTGTGCTGGCCGAAGTGGTCAGCCATCTTCGGATGAGTCTTTCTTTTTTTGATCTTGAAATTTAATGGACTCCGAACTCAGACGGCTTCTTAACAGCCAATGAGTCGACTTAGAACAGTGTGGAAGGCTCAGGCCGGTATGATAGAGCGGCTTGTCGCCACTTCAACACGGAGTGGCAAGGTTAAGGCAGTTTGCTACAGTTTCATTGACTGACGCAGTCTGATCAGCAGACAACTTAATTTTTGACTCAATGAGATTTTCTACTCAATCCGTCTTTCTCCAGCAAACTGCCCTTTCCATGTGTAGCTTGTCATTCACACTGTTGCTGTATCATCTTATCTGTTTGTCGACCCACAAGTGCGTGCACCAAACTGGTTAGCGTGGATCAGGCATTGCCTGTTGGCCTCCGGTGTGATAGTTTTTGAAACAGGCAGCTGCCGTGGATCAGGGCCAAGGCTGGAGATTGACCTCGGCAACTTCACAGCCCCTTGGCGCATCCCAGAAGTTCATGCTGCATGCAGCCGCAATGTGTGCAAGGTTATCCTTGATCCCTCAGACATAGCTCGTCTGGAGTTTATCGATGAGGGCAAGAACCTCAGACAAAGCAGTGAGAGTGGTCCTGCACGGCAAGCTCGCTTACGCTCGATTCCTGAGGCCTTGGTGCTGGGGAGGCCAATGAGACGGCCGTCACTACGGAAGTGTCGGAGGTGCAGAGTCAGGAAGATTTGTACGTTGGATCTCCAGTCCGTTTGCTTGGCAACTTTGGGGATAAAGTGCAGCTGACAGCTAGTGGAGCAGAAGCGAAGCATAGCAGCGCTTTCAGGGAAGGGCCAGCTCTCGTTTGGCCCAGGGCCGAACAGGTTGGCTGTGAGCCTTGACCTGCGGAGTCAGCCCTAGAGCTTGCATCGAAGACGCCAACTACGCTGTTTTGCTACTGTCATGCATACGAGGGGCCAGCACCATCTCAGCTGCCACCCACCACCACTGGTTGCACGTGATTGCTTGCCTGCAACCTCTTCTTTTTGTCGCGTGCAGTGCGCATGTGCATTCTAGGAGTTGAGCTGCGATGTATGCATTTCGTAATAGCATCAGCGAGTTGCTCTCAGGGCTCCACGTGTGTCACGATTCTTGGATGTTAGACTTAATCCGAGACATGTGTGGATGCCTGCCACACTTTCTGCAAATCCTGGATCGTCTTCTGCAACCTGGGAAGCTTCCGTGGCACGCTCACTTCATGCTTATTCGGCGGTTGCAGCAAAGCTCTCGTTCTTCTCCGAGAGTGCACATCCATCCCCTTGCATGGGGCGTGCACAAAAACAGCTGAAGGCGGTCTTTGGTTGATAGCCGCGTCTTCATCGCAGCTGTCTGCAGTGTGAGCTCAGCATGTGCCATCAAACCAACCTGCACGCCCAATCCGGTATGATTACTTTGACAGCTACCAGGAATGCTACATAGCGGACCAACCGGTGTTCAGTGAGATTTTGTTGGTGGGGTTTTGGTTTTTGTGCATTGTTGCCACATCTGTTTCTACTTGGGCACTCGTGGGCAGGCAACGGCGGTCAACCCCCTGATCCGTTGGGGGTGCGACATCAGTGGGTGCTTCACACCTTCTTCGGAGTATTGAGGTCCCCGGTACCGTGTTGAGGTGTCACCTTCTGGCCTTATGTTTGCGGCCAAGAGGCCAAGCAACGTGCTTGCACGGATTCTTGCACTGCCGCACGACACGCCAGAACTACTTGCTGAGCTTAACACCTGCAGCTTTCACGTCCACCCTGTTGCAAAAGTACCCGTGCATCGAAGGGCGGGAACGGCTGCATTTTCTTCATGCTTTGCTGAGCATTGCCGTCACCTTGCGGTCATTTGAGCAGGCACGCGATTCCGTGCGCAAGATGGGGCTTTGGAAGTAAACTCGGAAGCTGAGTCTGGCGGCACTGGCCAATGCTCATGATTTGATTTGCACTCGGGCACACAAAGCGGTCTTTCTTCCCGTGCCTGGACAGTGGGGCTGGTTACTTCGGTCGTGGCAGTGCAACGGCTTTTGCCCCCCTCTGTGGCTCTGGTTGCGACCCTAGCAGGATGTATACAGCATTTTATTGAATAGCCACGGAGATCTTCTGAAGCCTTGAAGCACATCACATGTGGCACACGTGAGTGAGCTCAGGGGTCTTTTCCCCTTCTTTTCCTCTGTGGGTAATGCGAACGTCAGTCAACATTTCGCAAGCTAATGTCTGTGACGGCAGCGACGCGCAACGATGGAATCATATTGCGTTCAGTGCAGGGTTCTTAGTCTCTCTCCTGTCGGGCTATTAAGTGTGACGATGGGGCTTTTGTTTGCAACTGCATGAATCGGGCAACGTGGCAAATCCCATGACTGATGCCCTCGCTGTGCTTTTGTCCGTCCTACTTTTGGCCCTACACCTGCGGTGCTTGACCTAGTGCGGGGCGCTGCGAGACGCGCACGCGTGGTGGCGGCGCATGGCGGCGCCTGGCCTACGGCCTCGCGGCCTCGGCAGCTTTGGCTAACGTCGGACGCGGTGGTGATTATGCGTGTCGGAATGTTGAAATTGGACACCTTCGGAACGCAGTAATTAGCTACCGTTGAGCTGGTGGCAGATATTCCAGCCGGCCCCGATGTTTTAAGATAAGGTCGAACGATCGCTTAGTTTGTTGTCAGTGTTTGCCCGGTTCTGTCTTCGTGAGTCTTGTGCTTGCGCGGGCCAAAACATGGATCCTCGGACAGCCGTGCAAGGCAAACATATTTGTTTGATTTTGGTGTGGCAGCTTAGTTTTGAAAGCTTCTCAAGCTTTAGTCTTGAACCCAGCTTTGCTGACGTGTGCTACAGAGTTGGGGAGGGGACACCACTCAAAAATGGTCAAATTTGGCCGTGTTTTGCAGGCCAGACTTCACGGCAGGAGGGTTTTCGGGGGTGTCCTAGTGTGCCTCGCAAATAGGTATGACAAGTGGTCTCTACTAATGCTGTTTTGGGGTGACGTGGAGGCTGTTTGGGACGCCAGATGGCAGCTTTTCAGGCACATTGGAACGCGGAGGCCGTTCGCGCTCCGCCGCTTCATGAAACATTTGCACACGCCAGTTTGCGCCCTGCTTCCAAGCCTTCGTCACCCTCCCTAAGCGCAAGTTTTGATGGTTGGCATTCTTTCTGCTTCACCTCAGTGAACCCTTGGCTGCTTGCCGAGAAGACCTCGCGCTTGCAACTTGCGGTGAACTCGGTGCGCTATCGCTCTGAATGGGGTGTGGTCCTTTAGCTTTTGCTTCTTGTTGTTTCCGCTAGAGCTTGCCATGCCCAGATGCCCGGTCAGGTGGTCCACCGGTTCATCAGTTGTATCATTGCCTGCCAAAGCACAATTTGTAATTTCCGCAAGCATTTGAACGAATAAAATGTCCGGGACAGCATAGTGCTCTTATCGTTCTGGAGATGCCGGCTGAAGGCTTGCAGCACAACAATGGACAACGTCGCTCGCAACCTTATTTCCCTCTTGGGGTTCCGTCCGGTCGAAAGTTAGTTCCATGGGACGGTAAATGTGATTGTGAATGCCGTCATTCTTCCATTGGGTTCGCAGCAGGGAGGACGATGTGTCAGCAGATCGCAGAAAATTTCAAAAAATTGAAATGCACTTGCAAAATCGTGCATAAATTGTGTTGGCTTTGCATTGTATGGAATCTACATTGGCATAATTGTGCGAAGGCGTGGGGTGGCGTAAAGCATCACATGCGGAATGCTCAGAACCAGGAAAGGTGCCGGCAACGTTGTAATTTGTACGGCTTCGCGTCATTTCAGGGCTTGAAGCAATAAATCACTCGTATGTTTCGTACTGTTTTTCAATATTTGCAAAACAATATCGTCGAGAAAGTGAATAGCATCTTTTGTACGGTTTCGGATTCATTTGCAACATGTGATGACTAGCATGAAAACGAAGCGGGCTGCCGTGGGCTGCCCGGCCCAATTTGGTCTTTTGTAGGTTGTGGTCGGGTTTGCAGGAGCCCGCAAAGGGAACAGTTCTACAGTATAAGGGCCTGTTGGCAAGTTTGACATGTTTGGGTAGCATGCATGTCCCAATATAGGCACATGTAGCTTGGAGTGCAAACTCGCAAGCCCGTAGCTCTGGGGCGAGATATATACGCATGGCCCATGTTTCATTATCCATTCATGTTGCCGAGAACAGGTGCAGAGCAACGCTAGCAGCAACAACAGGCTGTCAGCAGGCGCCGGTGCTTTGCTTCAGTTTTTCATTGAACCCGTGTGAGTTTTCACGTTTCCCTTGCACTGTCTTGCGACATCCCACGACATCGAAAGCAGTCGAGCAGCCACGCTTGCTCACTCATTGAGTCAGATTTTTGATGCAAGTTTTGGGAGGAAGTACAAGTCAACCTACATTCTCGTATTGAGCTGCAGCACTGCATGGTGGATAGCTATGAAAGATTTTCTATAGGTGCTTTTTCTGATTTGAGGCTGTTGATTCTCCGCCGAGCCCCGAACAAACGAAGGGAGGCTTGAAATCTCCCTTTGTCTGAGACAGAAGAGGTGCCGCGGACCAAGCTTCGGCAGAGCCCGATGCCCCAAGCTGCGCACGAGCCTCATCATCGTTAGGATGTGGGGCTAGGGCATGCCTGACGCAGGCTGAGGGCAGGCTTGTTGCGCGGTTGCAGCTTAGGATGACCGACAGGGCTACTGGGAGAATGGAACACACGGCTTTGTTTCTTTGAGAGGTGCCAATGCTCATGCACATCGATCTCCCGGAGCCGCTGCACCCCAAGACCCTGATCCTTGGAGAGCCGGTCCTGCAGAGGCCAATAGTCTTTCAGGAAACCACTTTCTCATTTTACCCAACAGGGTGCTGCGAGCTGCAGAGGTACTACACCGTCTTCGATGCGCGAGCTCCGCGGGTGGGTTTTGCCGCCGCGTACCATGCGCAGGCCGCTGGAAATAGGGCTCAGGTACTGCTTGAGATCTGTCTCTGATGCAAGGGTATCTGGTACTTGCAACTCCAACAAAAATAATCAGCATGTGTGGAACCATCCCCAGCAACAAATCCGAGATGTGCGAGAATGTCTCCGTGCGCAGCTCACAGCTTTTTATGACTGTTCCAGGCCGAGGAGGCAGAGGTGTAGCCCTTCGGCAGCCGAAATGCTCACCAAGAGTTCTTGCAGAAACCATTCTTGATGGTATTTGCAGAACTTTGGATTTGGAACTTTGGTGTGAAAAGGCTGTTCCGTGCTGGCCTAACGTGGCATATTTAGTATCATGTCTGTGTTGTACAGTGCAAGTCATGGGGGTGTGAGGGGAAGGGGAGTGAGTCCAAGCAGATCCCACATTCTTCTGTACTACCTTGGCCTGCCATGCATTGGGGAGCGCAATCCTCTTTCCCTTCCCGCCCCGGTGATTCCAATTATCGTTGACCTGGCAAGATGGACATCTTGCCGCGCCGGCGACGTCTGGGAACTGCTCTACGAGTGACCTGTGCGTAGCATCTACGCTAAACCATGACGCAAGCCGCAAGATTTGCCTCACAAGAGGAGTTCCCATCCCTGCCTACAGAATTCATGTGCATGAGCTTCTGGGAGTGACGCAAACGTGCCGTTCAGTTCCAAGCCTAATCGATACAGCATCACCTTGCATTGATGCATCAGCTTGGCATCTGAAGTCCAAGCAGCATGCAGGCTGAGAGCTGAAATGGAGGAAGCCGAGTCTAAAATCATGTGGCAGTTGGATTTCCAAGTTGTTGTTGGAACAGCACTTCAGGCGGCCGAAAGCTGTAGGTTCCCTGTCTGAAATTCGAGAGCTGGCCTCGAGACGAGATCTTTGCGTCACCCCCTGACCCTTCCTGGGGTCCAAACAGCCAGAGGTCAGACAAGGCCAAACACGGATCATGACCTGGATAGTGACGTGACACTAGAGGCCTGGCATCCTTGGACACCAAATAGGGCTCCATAAGCTGCGCGATGGCTGCGCTAGGCTGCGCTTGTCTTGGAAGCATGCATTTAAGCTCCTCGAAGCTCCAAGCGAGGCTCCAAGACAGGCTTCCAGTGCTGGCCAGGCCAATGAGGCCCAGGAAAAGACCGCTTTCTTCCTCTCAAGATTTCTCTTTGTCAGATGCTTCCAGCTCCGCCTACGCCCAACAGCCCTCATGAAAATGGAAGGAGATCGGAACTCTTCTTGCTAGTCCACAAGACTACTGCAGACATGCGTGGCATATCAAACGAATTTTTCACCTTGCCATCGGGACTTTCGCGCAACCATGGCCGGAGATGCTTCCATGCTGGAACGCCGCTGGCCGCGGCAGGCAGTGGCCCCTTGCCAGATTGAATAGAGCAACACGTCGCATGCGTGACCGTACCTGAATGAGCCCCGAGCATCAGATGACAGAGCGACCTGCCTCTGGGCACTCGATAGGTGGCGCCAGATCTAGAGCGCGAGGCAGGCTGGCACGCACCACTTCAGCCTTGCTGACAGATGCTGAGAGATGTTACGGGTAAAGAGTTTTCAAAGTAGCCTGCGCCTGAAGTACACCCAGATGCCACGACGAGCTGCACCAATTTTGGTTTTCGCCTGCCTGTGCTGCAAGGCCTCCAGGCTGTTACGTTGGGCCGAGGAGGCCTGGTGACAATGGTTGACATGTGGCCTCTCCGTGTTGGATGAGTTTCCGCCCAGGAGGCATGGGGGAGCGCTGGGGCCGGTGAAGGCTGAGACAGCACAAGCAAGCTCAAGCAAGCTTCGCGTTTTTTCGGGTCAAGTTTTCTGGAGTGCCGCAGCTGCAGGCCCGCAGCCGAAGCCCACCCCTGGAATACCACTGCGCCCAGGACTGTCGCCTGCCCAGGCCCAGGGAACATCTTGCCCCTTTGAGTTCTGCTCATCAACACCTTGCAAGGGCTCTTCGGTGCTCGGCGCGCCACAGGTTGGGCAATCTTGTTGAGCAGTCTCATGTCAGTTGGAAGATTCGGAGTGCAGTCTCTCATGTTCGAAGGCAAGGAGGTGCAATAGGCATGCCACACACAATAAATTCTGCTGCGCGCCCTTGACGCGTGCCAGCCACACCCTTCTTATATGGACGACATGACTTGAATCCGTCAGGAAGACCCATGGGAAGCCATTCTGGCCACCGGCGACGAGAACTTCGTGGAGGCCTCCGCGAAGATGTCCTCATTGTAGACTTCTGAACAATAACACGCTCTGGCAATCTGTCACTGGCAGAACATTTTATCAATAGCGTAGACTCCCACTGACAATGTGAACGCTCGAGTTCTTGCGATCGTTATATCCGGCTTTCCTTAGCAGCATCCACAGTCAGCATCCAGAACAAGATGGCCCGTGTCTAGCCTCAGGTTCCAACCACGCTCCTGGAGCGCCTACGGAAAGCTGGCGAGGCGAGAGTGGGGTCACGAAAGCTATTCTGAACATGTAGCCCGTTTGCAAGGCACAGCTCGCCGAGATTGCTGAGCTCCGGGCACAGATGGCACAGCTGCCCTACGTTGAGGAGTTCGTCGTCAGCTGTTTGCATTGAGCTCCAAGCCATGCAAGAAAAACTGGAAAGAATGCCAGAATGCCAGAATGCAGCATGTTGCAGCATGTAGGTTTTGCCACCCAACCCTCAGCGGCCAGCTGCGACAGGACGAGATCCACCGAATGGAGCAAGAACTTGCAGAGCTGCAGACAACGATCGTGGTCAACGCGAACGAGCAGCTGGGGCTTGGAACAGAAACGTCCGTGCCAAAGATCATCGTGTTTAGGGTATGAAAGGGATCGAGAAAGGGACGCTTTTGTGTGGAGTGGTCGGAGCTCCACTTCACTCAGTTTTCTGCTGGGGTTCAAGTTTAAGTAGTGACACATGACGTGCTTTGTCGCTAGTGGTCTGCGTGGCATTGTTGCCATGTCGTAGCATGTCATACGGGGAAGCTAGAACCTACATCTGAAGCTGCATCCACTGCCAAAGCCGCTAGTGGTCTGCGTGGCATTGTTGCCATGTCGTAGCATGTCATACGGGGAAGCTAGAACCTACATCTGAAGCTGCATCCACTGCCAAAGGCTTCAATCAGGAACGTGCTTCATTACACTGTCAAGTGGATGGGTTGGATGACATCCCAGGATTGAGCTGCGGAACATGGAGGTGCCGTTTTCGATGTGTGGGCTTGAGGGTTTGTGTCCGGCTGATCGGACACTGACGTTTGGGGTTCGAATCTTGCTCCTCTTATAGAGGTCAGGTGAAACAGTCAATGACCTTCAGCAAAATTTACGGGCACATGCGGGCACTTTATGGTGACCTCGAAGTGGCTACGCAATTTCAGCAATGTTCAGCCTGAGAGCTTCACGGTGAATCCTAGGTCGTCATGAGACAAGAGAGACCGTCTACCGGTTTTGGAGGCCGAATCCATGAATTTGGAGGCGGATCGCCTGGAGGCCACCAAGGCCGGAGACTTCTGCAAACTGAGCAGTCCAGTACGAGTCTTATCACATCTTGTCACCCTCTTAGCATCCTACTTGGCAGTGAGCACGGGTAATGTATCTGTGCCGTATGGGGCACTGTTGAAGGTGCCAGGTTGTTGGTTATCTTTCAGCGTGGTCATGACTCCCGTCCGAGAGAGATACAGCCTGAGTAGCGTACAACAACAGGAATCAGGCGAGACACGCTTGTAGCTTCGTCCCTTTCAGGCAGAGCGGAAGGCCCGCCTTGACTCCCTTACCGCTCAGGCAGGTGGGAGGAGTCTAGTCCACTGGTGAGCAACATGGAAGCTTGCAGAAGCCCCTGCATTCTGTGCAGAGTACACCCATTGCATGATCTTAAGGCGGGCATCCATTAGACGATAGCCTCAAGAAGTTTCACCTCGTCGGGCAGGCGGATGAGATCGAGTTCTGGCTGGATGCTGCAGGGCATGCGCCCGTTGGAGCGGAGGCTGAATGGCCAACGGGATTTTTTCAGCAGAGAGCCAGAGCCCTGCTTGCCTGGACAGGGACGTGCGCGAGTGGAACGGTACAAGGCCTGATAACCTCTTGTCCAATTGACCTTGAAGCTGATTCTGGCAGTAGCTGCTGACTCGTTTTCTGTCGCAGCATTCTTTACAGAGGTGGGGACCATTCGGAATGTGATGCAGGTCGAAGTATTCTGGCGTCTGCCTGCCCGAGGGTCTTTGACATGTTCATTTTGAAGCGTGTGTCGTGCCAAGCTGACATTCGTTGGAGAACAATGAGCTTGTTTCAGCCCTCTTGTGCAAACGCAGCGTGTGTCACGCAAGTGACAGTACATGTCCCGATAGGCAAAGATGCTGGAGGTTGTTGGGGAAACGAAAAGTGTACAGGGTGCCGTTGCAAACGAGGTGGGCTTCAGTCATGAGTTGCATGAAATCAGGGCTCAGCCTTTAATGCAGGAGGCTGCTGCAGACGAGAACACACACATGGAGGAGGCCAGGTCTGAATTGCTACATGTTTTTGTCAACAGGCGTCTCTGGTGAGGCTCAAAGCAAGACGGCTGCGAGAGAGTTCTCGGTACCTTCAGCGACGGACTCGCCAGGCTGCACTACAGCTGACGAGGCTGCCACGTGCGCGCCGGTTTGCTTCGTCATAGCTCAGCAGTGGATTGATCTGTTTGATCCGTTGCAATCTCCGTCTCTCAATATCCCGCCCTTCCAAGTTTCATGCACCTGGTGATAAATACTTCGTACATTTGTAAGGCTTGCCCGTAGCTTGTCCTTTTGCTGCCGCATGTAGGGCTTGTTGCTCCTTGGAATTCAAAACAGTCTGTGCTTTGTGGAAGTATTACTTACGCTTCCGAGACTTGACGGCTCTCCAAGAGCAAGAATTTGCCAGCAAGATAACTTGTAGCTCCGGCATACGAGAAATCAGCCATTGCTGAGCCCATGCGTTGCAAAAGATCGTCACTAAACACCTAGATGGGTGAAGCGTGCAATGCCCTCATGCAGAATCCGGATTTGGCGTGGTGGGTCGGAAAGGCATTAAAGGGGGTGGAACTAGTATTTTGTTGCCAACTCCCAGAAGATAAGGTTTTCTTGCTAACAAGTTCGGAGCCAGAAAAGGCGTCAACAAGGTCCATCGGCAATAATGAAGGGGTGGCAATAATGTTCGCCTGAAAATATCCCGATTTTTAATAAACTTCTTTCCACTTGTACTACTAGTACTACGAGCTGCAGTACCTAGTCCTACCCCAACCCCCTCGTGCATTATCGGGACCCCCCCCCCCCTCTGTAAACAAGCAACGCAGAACAAGATCCGGGGGGATTCTTTATTGGGAGGTTAGCCTTAGAATTGATGCTGTATGTGGGGCGTCCAGCTGCCTGATGAAATTTGTCTTTGATTTAAGCATTTGTTGGTCAATGTGCTTAGTGGTTGAGATACAGGGGCCTGTCCCGCTAGGCAAAGATGTTGGAGGATGTGGGGGATGCCGCAGGCGCGCAGGGTGCCGTTGCAGACGAGGTGGGCTTCAGTCAGGAGTTGCATGGCCTGCAGAAGTCCAGCCGCAGCTGAGCAGGAGGATGCCGAAGACACGGAGGAGGAGGAGGAGGAGGAGGAGGAGCAGGCCGCTGATTGAGAGAGGGGGTGGGGGTTTGTTTTGGGCTGGATTTGGTGGCAAACAGATAATGTGCAGAAAAGACCTTCTGCTCGGAAGCTTGCATGCTACGAACATTTGTCCCCGCGCTCGCAGTCATGCTGGTCAAGCTGTTGCTTCTTGAGCGCGTTTTGGCAGAGGCTTATGTGAGGGCTCAGTGAACACACTGCTGAACTGCCTTGCAAGGACGGGTGCTTTTTTTGTGAGGATGTGTCTCAGCCGCTGCTATGCTGGCCTGGGGGTGGTGGAGCTTCGGTTGGGGAGTGAGCTTGTGTGACTGATTGTGCGCACGGTAGTAGGTGTTGTGCGTGCAGAGGCAGAGGACGGTGACGATGGCGATGGCTTCACCAAAGATGTGGCTGTGCTCAGTGGATGAATGTGGATGATTCCTGCTAATTGCCTTGAGTTGTCTTTGGCAAACTCATACGGAGAGCAAGCTGCTGTTTCGCTGAGTTTAGCATTGCGAGTGCTGAAGTGCTGCATGCGGTATGCTGTCCAGCTTGCCCGCAGACATCCGAGGAGTGGATGGAATTCTTTCAGGAAGATGGGGATATCAATGACGAGGCTTCCGATGTCTTGTTAGGCCAAAACACTCAGGCACGATCTTCCTGCTGTAATGTAACTCATCATAATTCTAGATTGGACCATGAGCGGAATGATGACTCGTTTACTGTGTTGATTTTTTGTGTGACGTGGTCCTGCTGGGCCTTGTTGGCTGCGTGGGTAGCCAGGCAGTGTATCCTGGAAGGAAATGAAGTTGCTTGATGGCCTTCTCGAACAGATGGATGTTTCTGGCTGACGCCTCAATCTGACTGATAATTTTGTTGAAGACCGGATTTGGGTCCTGCCTGATGCCAGTTTCGAGATCTTACCAAGGCGATGGCCGTGTCTCCTCAGATGAGATCCAGGCCACCAGAGTGGCAGGAGCTGTGATATCAGCCGTCTGACACACGAAATGACGGCTGAGGTGGCACTTGCACGTGAGGATCTGGACATTCCAGAGGCCTTCCCGACGTCGTATTATGTTTGTTAGTCTGAAACTCTGCACCAAGTAACCCAAGGCGGAATTGAAGTCTGGAGAGTTCCCAGGGTTCAAGCAAGCCTTGCTTCATCCTTTTTTCCTCCTCTTCGGTTTCCCTCAGCGTGTAGAAATTTGTCGAGGGCGTGCGCTCCAAGCTCGTGGAGTTCATGAAGGACGTGGAGCTGCTCGGCCTAAACCAGAGATTTATGAGGAACTTGTCCCACTGTTTTGTGCTTCGGGCAGGCTAATCTCCGCATTTTTCGCGCAGCAAAAGTAAGAACCGGCGTAAGAGCAAAAGTTCGAGTTAGATGAGAGAGGAGAGTAGGAGTAGACGGTAAGAATAGGAGAAGCAAGAGCAAGAGAAGCAAAAGTAAGACAAGTATCATTCAGAGAACAAAGAGTCGTCGAGTCAAGAGTAAAGCCAGGAGAAAAAAGGAAGCAGGAGAAGGAGTAGTAGGACTAGCGGTAGGAAATAGGAGAGTAGGGAGCAAGAGTAAACAACGTCAGAGTAAGGTCAAGGAAGGGGCAGAACAAATAAAGCTGCCATAAAACGGGGTTTCGGGCCTGAACGTGGCCGCTGTGTTTTTGTTGATCATTTTCACACACGCATTTGTGTACCACAAACTTCTCACTAGGTCAGTTCTCCCTACAACAACTGATCCTCTAATCCTCAGGGAAGCCCTTCCTCACAGAACAGATAACATCATAACAGATACACAGTTGGATACACGGCAGCATAATCCTGGCAACACAAACCTTAGGCCCCAAATTACATCTTGGATATGTTTTGGGTTCGAAACGCTTCGACATCTTCCATTCGAATTCAAACTTTATACAGTTTTAAGATTTCAAATCCAAAGCACCTTCCAACAATGTCGTGTCCCCAGCTGCAGGGATACTGTAAGCTGAAAGTCGCACTGAAATTGTATTGTTTCGCATGCCGAATTCTGGGGATGCTACCTAGTTCTGTTATTCAATATCTTTAAACTCTTGGAACAGGCCAGAGGATTTGAACCGATTTGAATGCAAAAATTGACCTCTAATTCTGGCTAGAAAAATATTCAAATCGGCGAGAGGGCTTCACCAACTAACAGACAGAGTTTTTCATTTAGGTGAAGTGCAGGTTTAAACCTGATAGGATCCACGAATCCAAATGCAGACACCTGACACGTGCACCGCGATCATAATCAGGCGAAACCAAGCAGGAGACTTAGGTCCGGGGTCATCCTCTCTCCTCTCTCCCCTCCTCTCTCTCTGCTCTCCTCTCTTCTCTCTCCTCTTCTCTTGTATCCTCTCTTCTTTCCTCTCTCCTCTCCTCGTCTCTTGTATCCTCTCTTCTTTCCTCTCTCCTCTCCTCTTCTCTTGTATCCTCTCTTCTTTCCTCTCTCCTCTCCTCGCTCTTCTTTCCTCTCTCCTCCTCTCTCTTCTGTCCTCTCTCCTCCCCTCTCTCAGTTCTGTGTTTCGCGACCACGACCCCCCCGATCCCAAAGATGGTTGACACTTTTGAATCGCGAAGACGCAACGCGAGTCCAAAAGCGACGAAGGTTCTGCGTTTCGCGATGATTTTCGGCCGCGGACGCTTGCGGAGGCTAGCGAACGCTCCGCAGGGATTTCGCGTGAACTCCCAACCCCCCAGACCCCCAACCTCAAATCGAGAACCCTTCTGCTGCGCATTCGGGAAAAACGTGTCCGTTTACACAACGTACAAGATAGAATTGGCCCCTTTTTCCATTAAGCCAATGCGTTAAACCCATGACCCACCAAGTTAACACAGAAGGTGGTTAAGCAAAGACTTTCCCGATATGGTCTTGAAACTACCTGGATATGAAAGACCGATACGACTTACACTGACAATTTGTGGTTTATACAGGTTTGAAGAGAGTCGAGACACGGATTTAGATATGCCATAGATATGCTTTCAGATATTATGGGTTGGGATACGTGTTCTAATGCAGGTTATATAGGGCTCCGCATAATGTTTTTGATGCAGCTCTAATAAAGTGGAGGTTGTATCGATCCTAGGATTTTCCCATGCAGGCGCCAGAGCCTTCAGCCCATTGTATTGAAACCAATCTATCGTATTGGCGAAGCTTTCAGCAAATGGCGTGATGTCACTGTTTAATGTACATCCCCTGGATAGATTTCAATAATAATCAAGACTGCTTAGGATAAAGAAGTCAATTAGATTTGTGAGTTTGCTGAAGCGATTTGCATCTAGTATCATGATGAAAACTAGTTTTTATTTGCAGTGTTACTCACTAATATTATGAGGCTTTCGTGCGCAGAAAGCTCAGGATCTTATATGGCTTGTCATCTGCTTTCTGCGGCCGCCAAGGTAAGTTCAAACAGTCCTTGCTTCAGATTTCCTTGCGGCTGGCATCCCTGCTGAAGAAAGTCAAGGGCTCAGCGTGCAAAGCGCCTGTGTCTGGCTAAGTTCCAAATATTTATATCCGGCTTTTTATTTCTCCAGCTTGCTTTCAAACATCAACCAAAATTGCCGTTGCCAACAGGAAATTGTGGATGTTGACCGATTTTTGGCAGACGAGATCACTTCAGCAAACCCATTAGCCCGCCGACTTTCCAAACACAGCTGGATCTAAGGCAATGATGGCTCTTCAAGGCGCACGAATGCGCGACCAACTACATCATGCTCGCTGGACAGGTCATGCTTAGTACCTAGTTCTGCTTGCCAAAGGCCAAAGGTGCCTCATATGTTCAGGACGGATAGCCACTAGCCTCGCCGGCAGTTGGTACTCCTACGAGCCAACAGCACCGACGAATCCGACGAGCTCACAGCCCAGGAGAGCCGATCGGGGGGCTTCAAAAAATGTCGGGTCACTAAAGCAGTCTGCCTTGGCGAGGCTTAGCCAGGCTTGTCGATCACAGACCATTTTTGTTATGTCGAGCAACCATCAAGTTCATGTCAGCCTGCGGGATTTCAACTTGCACTGGTTGGAGCTTGACATGAGTGCCGGCCGCAAAACGGCAGTAGGTAGTTCGTTTGTTGGGATGTTATACGAGGTTATTTGGGCTGCATCATGAGCAGGCAGCTGACTTTGCTCCGTCTGGAGCATGCAAGCAAACTTACATTTGAGGTCTGAAGTGTCATGGTTCTGTGAAGGGAAGAGCGCGAGCTAAACATCAAGTTCTGTGCTTTGAATCCACTGGCAGGGTGTGTTGAGGGTCTTGTGACATGTGCCCATCACAGGACAGTTGCCTCGACCCAGAGTGACAGCGACTTCGTGCTGATAGCTCGACAGTTTCAGAGTCATTGCTCGCCGACCGTCACGACTCCGCTTAACAGCTTGAGCAGTATGGTTCACTGGCACCTTTCTCACGTGCAGGACAGTCTGCAGAAGATTCTCCACGGCTGAAGTGCATAGATCCCATTCTCTTGTGGGCGTTACAGCAAAGTACGCGCGCCAGTGCCCTTCTCTTGGTGTCAGATCATGACATGCAGCAGCTCAGCGCTCTCTCTCCCTCTCTCCCTCTCTCTCTCGCTGTCTCTCTCTCTCTACTCTTGTGTCGTAGAGCTCCGCATGCCCCACCCCCCAGCCCCACTCCATCAGCTCCAAACGGATACGATGGCTCTTTGCGGATCGCTGCGTGGCCGCCTCGCAGGTGGACATCGAGGCGCTCGGCCAGGCGCTTCAGGTGGTGGAGCAGAAGAACTTGGAGTACATGAACCGCATCCACAAGCAGGAGACCGCAGCAGTGCTTGGATGAAGAAGATCAGATGGAGCTCGCCAGGAGACCCGCGAGCAGCAGCTCAAGGGGGAGAACTCTACACTGCAGGAGGAGGCAGGCCAAGTTTCAGCTCTCTAGCTCGGTATTGCTTGGCCACATCATATCGGACCGGTGATGTGCACAAAATTCTTGCCTTCGTTGCGGAAAGGTTCTGAAGACCCTGTGGTAAGGGTGGAACTATTCATGCGTCTAGTGGTGCTTGCAGGTGGAAGCCATCAGGTCCGAGATAGGCCAGCTCAGAGAAATGGGAAGTTAGTTCCGGTTTTGTGAGCTTGCCCTGACATGTCCGGAATACCTCCCCGAGTGGCCCTCAAGCAATTTGAGCACTTCTCGAAGCAAACAAGTGAGAGGTCGTATTGTAAGACATCTTGCGTCTCCTGTACAGTTTGGGATACACAAGACGAAGCGCTCGCGATGCAAAACTCCCGCTTTCCCGTTTCGGCGCTACCTAGTACTTGTTACTGCATGGGTTGATCTGGAGCAATGCTCAGATGCCTTGCGGAAGCAGCTCGAGGGCGACGAAGAAAGCCGCACACAGTCGCTGGCCGAGTGTGTAGCGGAACCCCTCAAACCGCTAAGGCGAAGCCTTTTGCCAAAGCCATTTGCCAGCCTTTTTCCTTGTGCATCGTACTGGCAGCCGTGGAACGCTTGGCAGCTTTGCAGTGCTCGGACTTGTCTTTGAACAGCTCAGGTTCGAGCGTGCCAGAAGCCAGCTGGAGATGACCATCGAGTCCCTGGAGGCCGTTGCTTTTTTTCTCTGCTGTTTTCCTGTGCCAGCGGGTGGTGCGCTTGCAGTTGCAGGTTCAAGTGGACACGCTCAAGAAGGCGCTTAGCACCGCGGAGCGCATGGCCCTCGAGTGTTGTTAAACTCCAAGTCACGAATGGGCTCGATGCCAAATTGGCACCCAGGTGCCAACGAGCAGCTGCAGGACGAGAATCGAACTACAGCAGACAGGTGGTCGCACGGGAATCTTGCGTGGGAGTAAATGCTTCAGGTTTGCGGGGGCATGCAGGTCTGAGTTCAGCTTTCCTCATTGCAATACCGTTTTTGCGGATTCTGCCGCAGGTGTCGCGAAACGGCTGACAAGGCAAGACGCTTCAGCTAAGTGTTCTTTGTGGGTCAGAAGTCAGAAGCCACAAGCCACGGCTGGTTCTCACAGTCCGTGACGTTTTTTTGGACTTCATGTGTACATGGTCTCGCAGAATTATTCTCAGACCTTTCTGCTCTTTGAAGATAGGAGCGATTGGGCGGCTCCGCTTTTGCGAAGCTTACACAATCATCGTATTTGCGCGGTTGATGTTGAGGCCATTCTCTACGCAATCAAAATAGCAGTCCAAAAGGAGTGTTATTCGAGAGCATCTGGAGCTCTCAAAGCTAGGGTCTCAACATTCGGACAACAGAAAATTAACTAACCTTCGAGGTCTACGCCCTCATGGACTCCTTGCGGCTGAATCAGGCGACGGGCTGTCAAGTGGTCATGGCTCCTCCTAGTAGCTCCCAGTAGAATGTTTCGGAGGTGGAGCTCAAGAAGCTGGAGGCCGAGAATGCCTCCAGGCGCGTGGAGGGCGGCTGCCCAACAGCATCATACGTAAGAGCTGGCAGCTAAAGAAGGATGGGGGAGGGGGCAGACGCTCATGGCTGGTTGTGGTGCAAGCGGCCGGTGCTGGTGTTGTTAACGTTGCTGCTGCTGGCAAGATTTGTTCAACGACTGCGGACTGCTGCGACTTCTAGAAGATTATTGCATGATACTGGAACCATGTGACAGTTGCCAGACGCCTTAACTGGACCTTCTTCAATTTCGTGCTTGTTGTACACCTCATGATGTCGTGCCCTCAAAGCAAGTGTGCCAGGGACAAGAAGCTCCTTGCCCTGGAGCGGCAAACACAGAATCTGCAGGCATCGTGTCAGACCAGAAGCCACCGGGATAGGGGTTAAAAAAACATCATAAGCATCAACCAAAATCTTTATAAGCATCAAAAATCTTTGTAAGCATCAAAAAAACGTATTGCCTGTTTGCTGGGGAGTGCGCCAATCTGGAATGTTTTTTTTTTTGATGCGTGGGCTTCG